CTCTCTATGTGAACACGCACATACTAACTTGTGTTCTGAAAACTTAAAACATTGTTCCCCCATCAGCCAACAAAGATGTCACAGGGTTAAGAAAACCCATGAGTTCTAAGATGGGAAGCCATGTTATTTGCAACTAGAATAGAAACAGTCTGAGAAAGTTTTCACTTCTTTTTCCAAAAAGGAAATGCAACTGTTGTAACACACTAATTTAGACTTGCTTAGCTGGAAACATCCAAGACAGAGGGAGAAATACAAATGGCATCCCTGATTTTTCTTTCAGAATCCAGAAAATATTGTTATACCATGAGCTTTCTCTTGTGTAATGGAAATTAAAAGTTTTTTTTCAGACTGAAAAAGATGCAGCTGAGTGGGTATGTGATACAAATTTATTCACTTGTGAGGGGAATGGAGAAACTGAGTAAGGAACAGTTGTGCACTGTCTCTTCCACTACAATGAGACCTCGTGTTTTTAAATGGTCACAGGCTACAGAGGACGTGGGCAACCTCTGAGACACATCATACACCAAGGTAGAAGAATACTTTGGCACTGTATCACAAAATTACTGCCCTGTTTCTATGATCCTCCTTAATCATCTGCTGTTGACTGCTACTGGAGGCAGGATCCTGGATTAGGTGGCTTTTGAGCTAGTCCAATAAAACAGTTCTATATTGTTGAACAACAAATTAGCTGATTAAGCAGTGGGTACACTCAACTCCTCAAAAGTTGAGTTTTACTCCTCAGGGGATGCATTTCTAGAAGAAGAGGTGAGATTGTATACCACAAACAAACCAACAAACCAAAACAACAGCCTCAATAAAAGCAAAGCTTGCAGCACCACTAAAACCTCTAAAGCATCATACCTGGAAGCAAGCTTCCCACATATACATGTTCCTTCTGTTGGACTCTTTGTATAATATCAGGCAGAATTTAAATCCAAGTTCTGATATTTCATTCTATGGTAATGTTTAGTAGTAAATTTTAGCCAAGACATTTCTATCATGCAGCATCATTTTGTTTCCTTTCTAAGATCCCCATTTGCAATATGGCTTATATATGCTATTGAGATTAATACTTGGATAAAAGTTACCTGATGTCTGTTCAGAGGTGTAAGTGTGAGGACTTGCAGTAGAGATCCTAGCTGATGTTAAAAAATAAAACAAAACCAACACATGTTATAATTAGCCTTAGTGTGCATTTATGTAGTGAAAAAGAGACAGTGCTTTTACAGTAAGGATTTGCTAGCACCAGCTACACAAGTACCTCTGTCAGCCAGTTGTTCCATATATTATCATGCTTTTCACAAGCAAGAGAAAAACTAAAAATCAAAGGAAGAGTTGACAAAAAACTTCTCTATACCAATTTTGTGTCTCTGGGCTTTACTCTAGAATCAAGCAGGGAAAATCAAACACGGCTTTCTATGAAAATAGTGCAGCAATAACGCTTTGGATGAACTAAGTACTGTGTGCTGCCCTTTCTCTTTCTTCAGTTATTCTAAGAAAGCTCAGTAGTGCTGTGCACTGTGAAACAAAGTACCACATCCTTTTGTTAACTGAGGTGACTGCGCTGGGATGAGAACTTTGCCAAAGACAGCTCAATTTGAACAGCACTAACAGCAGACCTGCAAGATCCTAAAGATCAGCCTTATGGATGATTGTAGAAACTCTTTCCACCACAAGCTTTGAAACCCAGACCCAAGAGCAGATTTACCACAACGGTACTCAGACAAGAGCACACCTCTGTACTCACCTTTCATTATCACAACCTTGAGATTAGTTTTTTGATCGTTGAACCACCCCCGGTGCTCCACACGGCAGCAGTAAGTCCCGCTGTCTGCTTCCTCGGCGTTCACGATCGTGAGGGACACGTCGCCCTCCCACAGGTTCCCTTGCAATAGGTACCTGCTGCTGTACTGCTCTGTCATCCTCCATCCATCTGTCCAGATAATGGGCCGAGAACACTGTGAAGTAGGGCAGCTATCCCGACCCCAGCACATGGATGTGATGTCTTTTGTGTTCTGGACGCTGTAGGAGCAGGGCACGGTGATGTTCTGACCAACCTCTCCGATCACTAATTCTGACACTGTGGGGCCTGTGGACAAAACAACAGAGCTGCTGAGCACAGGGTATGCAAGGGGGAGCTTCTTGTGCATCTTGCCTGTCCTGACACTTCTCATCTCTCAAACGCCACCAAGCATTGCTGGATCAGATTTTCCACAAATAGATGTGTCCCACCTGGAATGATCTATCCATATTAACATTTCAGGAATAGAGTTCTGTGCAGCAAGAACAGGCAACAAATTATCTCTACTGGAAGTCCAGTCTGGTCTCTAATTTTTATTTAATATAAAAAGGAAGCTTAAAATGAATCTCATGATAAAAGATTGTATAAAGAACTACAGGAAATAATATCTGTAATATCCCTTTTCTTTCTACTGAATTTATCTTACCACCAAGTTTTTAATGTCTGTCTTTATTAGTACCACTTTACAGCCTGCTGTTTTCAGTGCTGTTGCCTTTAACAATCTAGGACTGGTTTCTCAGATTAAAAAAAAAAAAAAAGGAGAAATTACCAATTTATCCCAATACAATTTCACATTAGCTAAAAAACACCAGAAGCCACAATTGGCCTTTTCCCTGTCTTCCTGAGCGCTCATCGTCACAAAGTCTGCCAAAGTGAAATATCCTTGTTTTACAACTTCTCTAAAATGATTTAAAGTTCTCTGCTCATCTCAGATCACTGTTTTTAAAAGCCCACTAATCAGACTAGCAGGAGCCAAGACTAGCTCAAGAAGGAGCATCTTTAAAACCATCATACCCTCAAACATGATTTTGTCTTAAAAAGGTGATAAGGCCACTAGAACACTATTGAGTCACTGTGATAAAATTCTAACACAAAGCTGCAGTTTCTGTGATATGTGGCCACTCCTTCTGTTATAAGATAAAATTTCTCACTTTGCAACCCTCAGGACCACTGATGCATGATACCTCCATCCACCTCTGTCTAGTTGTTTAGGCCCACTTAGTTACCTGTAAACAGGACCAGAAGAATCCAGTTCATGCAGACATAAGACAACATCATGGCTGAAGATGAGGAACACTCCCGCTCACCCTCCTCATTCAAGAAAACTTCTCTTCTAGGTAAACTTCTTTGTTTACTTCTTAGCACACCATGTCCAGACACAGCTGTGGGTGCCCTTCAGTCCAATCTGATCTTTTTGCCCGTAGTTGGGTTGTTTGTCTCCTGCAGCACAGGCAGAGCTGCTGGCAAGGTACAAGTGCACAGGGCTGAGCTGCCGCTGACGGAGTGTGACTGAGAGGCGGCACTTCGCAGTACCACAGAAATCTAGTTCTCTTTTTTCCAGGTCTGCTTGATTACCATAAGTGAAACTTGTCAGCACCACTGAGCTCACACAACTACCAGAACCATTGCCCCAGACTGCTTCCCACACCTGCTTTTGCCATAGTAGACACCAATCGGATACATGATTACATAGGATATGTAGCACTGTGGTAAGTAGAAAGGACTTGGCAAAATAAAAGATTCTTAGGAAGAACTACTCAAGCTTTTAATCATAAATTTCTGGTTCTAATACTTAGAAGCAGCTCAGAGCATCTTTTGGCAAATTTTCCTTGGCAGCAATAATTTGGTAGTATTGGAAAACTGTCCTACTGTTACACAGTTGAGCCAAATAGAGTTGCAGTCTCTTTTCATCTGACTCTTAAAAATTCCATATGCACCTAGGCTTTTGCAATATAGACAAAACATCCAGAATGCAGAATCACTTCAAAAAGTAGTGTGGAAACTGTCTCATCCCAGACTCAAGGCTCACTCTGACAAAATTCTGAAACACAGCTTTCGAGGAAGGCTGTTCCCTGGCCACTCTCCCTGTGTCCCTGGATCACCAAACTCTTCTCAAGGATATCTTGTCTTTTTATATTGTTTGGACTAGAACTGCAGCTGTGATCAAGGATATTTGATCTAGAGCCAAGAAGTGTTCTTTGCTGAAGCTACTAGTCTACCTCAGTGTTTTATATAGATGAAATTAAGTACTAAGGAGTTACAATCAGAACCAACAGAGCTGTCTCGCACTGGATACCTTAGAGAGCAGAGGCACCAAAGTGACTGTTTCTTTAAGTGAAAATTAGGAAAACCAAGGCATTAATGCAGCTGAGAGACAAACACTAGCAACACACTTGCAGGAGAGAAGTGAGAGTAGGAGGGATGAAGGGTGACTTTTGCATGTAGCGTGACTTTTGCATGCAGCAGCTGGAAGCAGGACAGTAAGAAAAATGCTTCCTCTTCGCTCCTGGTGTTTCTGTGGAAACAGGAAACTGCAGACAGCTGCTAGAGGAACAATTCTGATAATGGCCAGCAGGATCCTGGCAAGCTGGCTCTGGCAGGAGGCGGGTGACCACATTCCCCACAGTGCCTGGCATGGGCCGGTGAGCTCTGGTGGTTCAGTGTGCAGCAAACACCCACCTGCACACCAGGACACGGCCCTTCCCACAGTCCCCTGCAAAACATGTGCTGTGCACGGGTCTACACAGGTTCCTCCCTTGCATGAGCCACGTCTGAGCTCTGAAATAAATAAACAGGATGAGAAAATAAAGGAACTCCTATCCCAGAGCTCTATCTGAGCCCATTTTCTCACTTCACCCAGGCTGCTCCCTTCACACGTTAGTCAACAGCTGTTTGAGTGCTGTCTGTATCCCAGGAAAGCTGTTCTGGTCACATAGTAAAAGAATGGGAGAGCTACAGGACAACAGTTAACCCACTTGCTTTAGATCTCACCTCAAACACAGACTATAAGGAATGCCTTGGTGCAATTTGAGTTTCTACGTGCCTGTTTTCCAAGTTCCTGTGTTTTGCTTGTGCAAGAAACAAGCACCACTTCTGTAGAAATTTTTTCTTGACTCAGAGCATATAGAACCATAGAATGGCATACCCAAAAATCAGAGAGATGAACCCAAAACACGCAGGAAGTGACAAATGAAAGTACGACAGAAAAAGTCAACTTTAATCTGTGCCTACCACCTCACGGTACATTTAACAAAAATTATACTTTTTTCTTTCTACCAAAAAAACACAGGTCACAAAATATCAAACACTTTCATCTGCCCAGTCACTCACAACCTCCAATACGTGCACAAGAAACGCTTTATCTGCTTGTACAACAGCAAAACAAACTATGTGTAGCCTCAGAATACATCCTGCCTCTCCCTCTGGTGCATTAACAAAGCAAGGTGTTTTCTTCATGTCATTTCGTCAATAATGCTGCACATCGCTGCATCCTTGTCTAAAACCTGATCTCTCTTGCCACCTGAACGCTCTCTCTGCTTTTCGCTCTGTCCGATGCAGTTGCTGCCATCATCAGTATCCATGGGCTCCACTTTCACTCTCAGTCCTCCCTCTGCATGAGGCAGATCATCAGGCAAGGAAGCCAGGCAGTTCTGGATCATCTCCACAACCCGCTCCAGGTGCTTCTGGAATCGCTCCGCGGTCTCCAGGCGCTGACGTTTCTGCACCTCCATCATGACTCTCAGTGTCTCCCTGGCTTGGTGAGGGCGATACTCATTTATAAGGTGATGGACATGGACAAAAAGCAGTTTCAAGTCTTCTAGTTTCTCCTCTCGCTTTATGCTTCCTGGGCTCCTTATCAAGATATCCAAGAGGTCCAAAAAGTTGACCAGGATAGACATATTAAGTTTTCTTAATTCCTTCTTGTGATCAAACTGCATGGGATGCAGCCGTTCAATACCCTGGCTCTCCAAGGGCCGAATGATCAGGTCGTCACACTGAAACTGATTTCCAAACATCATGTAGCTGTCCTTCACAGGGGGAGGTGGCTTTGGAGCCAGGCCCTTACGGATATTTTCATCAGTATATTCTTTTATATATTGCATTGGAGGTGGAGGAAGGGCACTCACTTGCTGAGGTTCACCCATTTTTGCCAGACGAAAACACCTATGGGAATATACCAAGAAACATATGTTAACAAGAAACATATGTTAACAACTTGTGTCACAAGATTATAATATAAATATAAACAAAGACAATGCAAGAAAAGCGGCCTTGAGAAAATGAGCCAGAAGAAAGACAACCCAATGTGCAGAATAATCCATGTTACTTTTCACTAAGGTTTACTTACAGCAGGATTAACTACAGTAGGACACTAAACACTAATTTCCCAAAATAAGAAACACCAGCCTGTAAACTGAGCAGCCACAGGGAGAGAGGCGACCCCTGCCCTAGCTAGAGCCCAGCCTGTGAACCCCATAGAATATCCTGAGTTGGAAGGGACCCACAAGGATCATCAAGTTCCAACTCCAGGACAAGCATAGGACAACCCAGCAATCCCATTATGTGCCTGAGAGTGTTGTCCAAATGTTTCTTGAGCTCTGTCAGGTTGAGGCCGTGACCACTGCCCTGGGGAGCCTGTTCAGTACCCGACGACCCTCTGGGGGAAGAACCTTTTCTTAATATGCACCTAACCCTGCCCTGACGCAATTCCAGCCGTTCCCTCGGGTCCTGTCACTGGTCACGGAGAGCACAGATCGGTGCTGCCCCTCGTCAGGAAGCTGCAGACCATGGTGAGGTCTGCCCTTAGTCTCCCGCTTCTTCAGGCTGAACAGACCAAGTGCCCTCAGCCGCTCCTCGTATGGCTTCCCCTCTTCACGCGCGACCCACGAGAGAAACCAGGTCGGGCCCACACCCGCCCCCGCCGAGCTTCGCTGCCCTGCTCCGGGCTCTGGGCCGCAGGGCTCTCCAGGCCAGTGCTGAGGAGAGAAGAGCCGTGACCAGGTACCGGCGGAGGGGACAGAACCCACCCGGAGCCCGCGGGGACCCACGAAGACCCGCTCACCCCACCTTCCCTCACTCACCGCCCGCCGCGCTGCCTCAGCGCCACCGCTTCCGGACAGAAGCCCCTTCCCCCGCCTTCTATTGGCTCGCAGCCTCTCTGTGCCGCACTCTGATTGGCTCTCGCGAACATCAGTCAGACGCTCTCTCCACTCAGCTCCCTGGGGGGCGGTGCCAAGCGCGAAGAGCAATGGCGGGGGCCGAGGGTGCTGCGGGGCTTTCCCGTCCCGTCCCGCCGCTGTGACCCCTCAGGGCTGCGGGGCTTCCTCGCCAAAAGCCGCTCCTGAGGCGGAAGAACCTGTGGGGGAGGGAGGGCAGGGACCGGCCTGGCGTCCCTGCGGGGTTGGGTGAGGGTGGCCCCGCTGCTGGGAGACAGAATCGTGGGAATCACGGAGTCACTTGGGTTGGGAAAGACCTCTGAGATCATCGAGTCCAACCTGTGGCCGAACACCACCGTGTCAACCAGACCAGGGCACTGAATGCCACGTTCAGCCTTTCCTTACACACCTCCAGGGACGGTGACCGCGCCACCTCCCTGGGCAGCCCCTTCCAGTGTCTAATCACCCCTTCTGTGAAGAATTTCTTCCTAATGTCCGTCTTCCTGAATCTCCCCTGGCGTAGCTTCAGACCATTCCCTCTTGTCCTGTCGCTGGTTGCTGGGAGCAGAACCCGACCGCCGCTTGGCTACAGCCACGGGCTGAGCTGGAGGGGCGTGTTTAGATCGGGCTCTGCCAGCGCGATTGTTGCACATTAAACACTGAATTACGCAGTGATTGCATTTAATGTGACCGTGTGTATGGTAATCACACGGTACCGGGAGCTTCCACGCATCCAAATATACCGCGGGCATTAACACTGACCATGGAATCACAGCATCACCCTGGAAGCGTTCGCAGCATTCCCGCATTCCTGAGCATATTCTAACAAACGGTTCGGCTCCGTCGCTTTTCTTTCAGTTTTGTTCTAAAGGGAGTTGAAGTAAAAACCGTGGATTTTAGTTTTTCACCTTGTGGGTCAGGTGGAGCCGGGCTTTCTGGCATCGCCTCTGCGGGAATCTCTCCCTGGAACGGCCGACAGGGAGTATTTTTTTGCCACTTGTCCGTTCCTGTGCCGTTCTCTCTCCCTCAGCAGATGGCAGCAATGGCCTTGGTGTGACAGGGACCCATCGCGTGCACACGCACTGTCATTTACAGATCCACTCTTCGAGATCGATCATGCCACCGAAAAAGTTTCAGTTGAATGATAGTTAGCTTGGATCCTGTTAATTATTTCTAAAACGATTCAAAGAAGACCCAGAATAGATTTATTTGACTAGAAAGCCTGAAATGATGTACAGATATTTTACAGAATAGTTGAATATTTATATATTCCAAACCAAATATACTTTACAGTTGACAGTGAGTACAGCCCTGGTGGCAAAATAGGCTGATCTGGTTTCATTTGTAAGCAAAATATATTTTGAAGAGGAAATGACTCCCTTTGAGACATTCATTCTCAGTGAGTGTCTGTCACATAGCAGGGAATTTCAGTGAACTTGCTGAAGAAGTCTCACCCTAAATGAAATTCAGTGTCCTTGTTCTCTGACTGTGCTGTACGGTATTTACACAGTTTACATTTTGCTGATGATGATTTTAATTATTACATTGTTTCTTAGTCTCATATCGTTTCATTCCTTAGTCCAAGTTAAAAGTTTTCCTTTTCACTGATGCCATCATAGTTTAGTATTTATCCACATTCATGTATATATGGATGTGGCCTATGTTATATTTTCAAACGTGGAGTTGAGGATTTTCTTTTTAAGTAACTAGGGCTCAATTTATGCATATTGTCCAAAGGAGAGTGTCCTTGCCATTTGGTAATGACTCACAACTTTAGGGAAAGATAGGAAATTGAGCTGGGCTCAATCTGTGTCTATCAATAATTTTTAGACTGCCAGATCTGATACTGCCTGATATCTGAAGTGGTTTTTCACTTTTTCTGCCCTTGGTGCCATTACTTTGACTTAAAAAATGAAACAAAGGTCCTTACGTTAAGGATTTTGTGGTGCCCCAAGATGTGAGTTAATCTAGTGTTCTTTTCAGAAATATTGATACGAACTGAAGTGTCTTGGGTGTGAATGGATTGCTCAGACCCAGAAGGTTGGGTACAGAAGGTGCTTATCCTTTGTGCATAAATATCCTAATGGGAAGCCACAGTGGGCAACACAATGCAGAAGAAACACAACAGGATAAGGTGGTTTGCACATGTCATGTTCAGTTTTTAGCATTTCAGCTCTGGATCTGGGCTAACCATCCCTTGGAAATGGAGTTGTGCTAGTACACAATGTGTTAGTAAGAGCCACCTTTAGGAAAACTGGAAAGCACAAAAAGTTTGTTTGTTTGTTTGTTTAACGTGGTGTTTGTCAAATACTACTTTAATGCATGAAATAATCATTTTGAAGAAGGGAATGTACTCCAGGATGGAGATGCAGATCTTATCAAGGCAGATAAGCATGGAACTGAGATCATGGTTGCCAAATACAGGCAAGGGTGCAGTTTCCTGCTGCAACTAAACCGTTTTCTGCTTTGGAAAAGGAGGTCTTGTTCCTTCACCCCTACTCCTTCCTCCTGATCCCTCTCTCCTTTCTTCCCTCGGTGCTCCTCCAGTCCCCCACTTCTGCCTTTGCAATCCTTTATTCTCAGCACTTTGTACTGTCACTGTCAAGCACTGGGTTGCAAAGTAAATAGATGCAACTCCAAACCACACAGAAAACCTTACTGCCATTTTTCTGGATTAAGTTTTCAGCTCTTCTAGAGAGTTAAGTACGCGTGTGTTATCTACCCTGTGAGCATCAGGGTGAGCTTTCAAGAGAGGAGAGTGCATAGGCAGGAGGAAAGGAGGAGGTTGAGGAGATGGGGAGGGGAACGGTTCTCCTCATTTCTGTGGCAGCAAGGTCTTAAATCATCTTGTTACATCATACTCTGAAACACAGGCAAGGAATAAAAAGCATCACCTCCAGATATGCATGAGATAACCCACGTAGAAGGAGGTATTAATACACCTTTGGTTTTGTTGGACTTTCCAGGCTTTGATTTCACATTCTTTTAACAGGAGCTGAGCTTGATTCTCTAGTACCTTGCACTCAGTGAACTGTGCAGCAAGGATGTAAAACGCCCTGACTTCAAATAGAAGAAGACAGTGAGGACCAAGCATTTGTTTTTTACAGGATCTCGGTGATCTTCTTGACTCATTGTCTCAGTCTGTATGACAGTGGCCAAGACAGAGGGGATATAACATCAACTAAAGTTTTTCAGTCTCATTCTTGGTAGCATGGCTGGTTCTCAGAAGACCCATGGATGACCCTTTCCAGTGTATGGGAAGCTGTGAACATTTCTCCTTACTGTGGTTCTAAATGGGAAATTAAGAGTGATAGTGAGTGTTATGAGGAGCATTCTCCAATTTGCTTTCTGCTACATTTCAGCTCTTTTCTGAAATAAGGATGCTGTCCAGTACAAACCTACCACTGATAATGCATCACAATTCCTACAGCATCTCCAGATTGTGGGACTGAATATTCTTCACCTCAAAGACACAACATCTTAATTTACTGCTTAAGTTTATGTTCGTTTTCTTCATAACTAATTTTAGGCAAATTGGCATGTTTCAGTATCAGACACTCCAGTTCTATTAATTCAGCAGCAGTGTGTACAGTGTGTACCATTGCAGTATGCTGTTATTTTAGCACAATTTGAATCCAAACATTGTGGAAGCACAGTAAATATAAACCCCATTTTCAAGCATTTTTTACAAGAGCGCTGCTCTCTTCTATGGTACAACATGTTTCTTCCATTTTTGTCTGCTACTTCACTCTGAATAATAAATAAATGTGTGTGCGCTTTTCTCATGTTGCCTGAAAAAGTAAACCCAAAATGAAACTCAGTTCCAGTCTCTTGTTGGGTTTAGGTGAGTGTTATATCTTACATCTGCTTAAGCAATGAGCTCAGGAATTCCTTTTTTGGTGATTGTTACAGGCTTTGTTGTAGAATATACCAGGGAGGAGGGGAAGAGAAAAGAAGCCTGTTGGTGGTGAAGGGGACTTAAACAAGCTTTATGTCTCCATCTGCTGTGGTTAATTCCCATCTCCCTGTCTCCTGCTGTGGCTATGGGAATTAATGAATTTGCAGTGCAGTACTGTGCAGCTTTTTCTTCCTGACTCCTCAGACTAAAATATCAACTGCAGCCTGTTGGCACACCTACTAATGTAGGAAAGAAGTTTAATGTTCCTATCATGTAAAAATTGGGCAGTGCACATGGGAGTTGCACATGACAGTTGACCTGTTTCTTACTAAACAGCCTGTTAGTAGATTCAAACAGATCCAAAGCTCAGCACAGAGCTTGAATGGCTATTTAGCAATAAAACAGGTATCTCAGTACTGGTTAATAAATTGACATACTTCAAAATCCATGCACATTTTGATAGAATCATCCAATAGTCTTTTCTGTGCTCATAGTCATAATGTTGTTTCTGAAAGCAGCTCCCCAGCCTGATTTTTAATGCTGGGTGTTTTCTTGGTCACATGCCTGCGGTGACAACCTATTCTAACATGTAAGTGAACATGTCTCAAAAAATGCATCTGCATGGCATGAAGAAGTAATCCCTGTCCATCCATCAGCAACCTGGGTAGCAGCAAACATGTCATATTGCCAGAATAAACCCTGGCACTGCCATTTTGCCAGCAGTGTATGTCACACCTGTGTCTTCAGATAGAGACAGTAACAGAAAGAAACCATGATAGGCAGGCACTGATAAAAGGAGCTGGAACAAATTCCCAGTTTGGGTGTGACCCCA